GAATATTGACACAGGATATCAGGTTTTTGTTTTCTTTGTTTCCACAAGCGCCCTCTAGTGGTGATATTGATCTGTGCCCATTGTTATTCTCTGTATCCTTCCAAATTGGATACCCCTTTCTGAATTGCAAAGATTGACCTTTTGACCCTGTAGATGATTAAAATGCTGGGGTGTTTTTTTCACTTCTATTTTTATGTATGAACAAATAATTGTAGATATTTTTGTTGTTGATCTGTTGGATTATTTACCCCTTAAAAATATTAAAGGCCACAGGCAAGTAGATGCCACCAGTCACTGTGCAGTAGTTTGGTATGGTCCCTATATCACCCTAATTTGTTTACATCTGAGTGAGAAATGACCTTGAAATTTGAACATATGATCTATTTCATATTGTAATATGTTGGCACCTTGCCAGTTTAGGCCATGTGCTTTCTGTTGTGTTCTCAATGGTTGCTGTGTTGTGACTGTAATAATAGCAATGCTATAGTGATGTGTGTAGTGTGGAGTTGGTACCAGTTAATATTATGTAATATTTTGAAATGAGAGAACTATTTTGTGTCAGAGTGTTTCTTTGGATGGTTCAATCAAATAAAGAAATAAACTAAAGGTTGTTTTATTTTATCTCTGATTCTCACTTATGTGTCCATGCAATATAGATGCAAAAAATAAAAAAAAAATAAAACAGAGAAACAAAGGTTTCATTTACCTCTCACAAAATCATCATTTACGTGTTATTTTTCTATGGCTTCTGTGATGAAATTTTTGTATTGACTCTGGAAAGTCTGCTCAGTGATGTATATTCTGGAAAGATTTCAGTGGCATCTTGTTAGTATTGTTAATATACATATTTTTTTTCTTCTGATTTAAGCCAAATAAAACAAATTTGATACTTGGTATTCCTGCAGGGAATTTTTTTTTATTTTAATTTTTACATTTTTCCCAGGTTTTTGTGAGAATATAATCATGGTTTAACTACAGACACAACATCTAAGCTAGTTTTCAATGTATATAATTTGCTTGATACATCTAAGTACTGTAAAATGACTAATTTTCACTGGGTTTAAATTTCACTGATTTACCATTTCAGGCATATTCAGTGGGTTTTAAATTCACAGTTTTATCATTTAGATAATGTGTTCTATGCTAAATTTTACATATTCACTGGGTTTTAATTTAGCGCATTTTTCCAGTCAGCGAAATAAGCTAAATTAAAACCCAGTGAATAATTACCCCCTTTACAGTACTTCACTTCACTTCACTACATGCTTGCAGAAGGAAATACATTAAATGACCAAAATTATAATTGAGCTTATTTGCAACAAAAAATCGGTAGGTAATGAGTAGCGCACGGACAATCATGCTATCAATGGTAATTTCATTCGAGAGCTCCGTTGGTGCTAACAATGTTAAACACTCGTTAACCGATATACTGATGTATATCGGTTAATGAAATCGGTACCAATAGACAAGTTATGAGTTTCGCCCTTTACCCGGTTGATTTTGCAGCGTAAATGTTGGATAGCTCAGAATGCCGGGATCCAGGGAAACCAGTGAATAAATATGGAGCATAGAAACCTATATTTGTAACTGGAAACTCTTTAATTGATGTAAAATTTAATGAGAGCTCAAAGATTATGTGCGTAAATGTTTGTTTTCGATTGTAATAGTTTTAGTAGTTTTCCATGACACTCTGCACAGGAGGAAAATTAATTACTTGATTAATTAGATTTTCTTGGACTATCATCAAATCTTAATTGTTCCTTCACTAAAACCTCAAGTCGTTCACTTTATTATTAAATACATTACAGTTAATTACAATGTGCTACATGTGAATAGTTTGTTGTTTAAATATGTTTTATATCTTAGTGAATTACGACACTGAGATTATGACAAAAAAGTAAATTATGCTCAAAGGCAATTTGGTTGTCATACATGTATCCTTTTGTAAATTTTACTTGTCAGTGGGTTTAATCTGTGATCTGTCACAGTGGATTACTTGATGTGGTCCCGATCGTTTTTAATGAAGAGTATATTCAAGTGCATGTGTATACATCATCATACATGTGCATGTATGGCTGTATATTGTATGTCTCATAATATGTACAAGCAATCTCTCAAAATGTTTTAACAGGCAATGGGAATATTACTGTTATGCAACAGATTTGACCCAAATCCATCAATGAATACCTTAAATAAAGCCACAACGGATTGAAATTGTTTCATTATTTATTCTGATTGACAGGCATGACACAAACTGGAATCAGTTGTGAAATCCCAAAATGGCCGCCTGTCAGCCATACCCATGATCAAATGGTAGTGAAAATTGATACATGTACAAGTCATCGTACATGGGTTGTGTGTTAAGTTTGAATGCGATCAATCAAAGCATGACCCTGATATGGCTTTGAACTCATGAACAGACAGAACCCAAATTAATACTTCCTGATTTTGGACTTTGTCTGAAACGAAGACTAAAAATGACGTGCATCAAAGTCCCATTATGTTCAATGTATGGACCATATTCACGACTTAGATTCGGTTCTGGAATGGTGAAAATGTGGATGCATTTTTGGCATTAAAATGGCTGTCCTTCGGCCATCTTAAATCAGATCGTGAATAAAATGCATCTTCATATAATCCGATATGATGCATGTGTGAAGTTCAAATTTGATTGGTCCAAGCATGTGTGAGATATGGCTTGGATACACAGATATATACAAACAGGGACTACCAGGTACATGTAATAAGCACTGACCTTGTTTCAAAGAAAAGCATGTTTTTATTTAGCAGCTTATACCCATGACTCTATAATAAAAAAAAAGTATTGTACGACCGTTAAAATACATCATAAATTTATAGGATACATATACCAAACAGAAATCGCTTAATTTCCAAGGTCAGTTGACCTTCTGCCTACAAAGATATTTGTCATTTTTCACAATTTTGTGAAATTTTTTGATCAAGATCTGTTGCCAAGCAACATATTACGTCCATGTACATGTACTGCTGAATTAACAAAGAAAATCAACGAATTAAAGTATGTAATAATTTGCAAAAAATTGACCTAAAATATTGATAAGGAGAAAATATGGTGTTCATCAATTTTTGTCGAGCAGAAAAGCATAAATGATGTCAACAGATGTCTGTGTAAGTGTTATAAAATATTAATTACCAGTTGTTTCCACATGTACATTGTTCGTGGCTTTCTGTATTCTGTGCATATTGGCTTTGCCTCATTCACACAAAAGCGTTTCAACAGAGCCCAACAGTAAAAACGAGTGTATAAATGTGTTCTTCTAGAGCCAATTTTGGCTCCAATAAACCTTCAGAGGTTCAACTTTGATTGGACTGACCATCTACAATGTAAACTAAAAATCCTAGTCGAGGGATTTGTTTGTCTGTGTATTCGGAGCCACTCTGGTACATGCTTTGACTGATCGCATTCATGATCACGTATGATGACTTGTACATGTATATGTATCAATTTTCATTACCATTTGATCATGGGTATGGCTGACAGACAGCCATTTTAGGATTGCCCAACTTTAGGATTGTCACGCCTGCCAATCAGAATAAATAATAAAACAATTTCAATCCTTTGTGGCTTTATACAAGGTATTCATTGATGGATTTGGTTCAAATCTGTTGTATAACAATAATATTCCTATCGCCTGTTAAAACATTTTCTGAGATTGCGTGCACATACATTTGTACAGTGTATCACGAGACATACAATGTACTGCCATACATTCATACACATGTACTTTCATTAAAAACGATGGGGACAAAGTCATGTTTTGTTAAATGTAATCCACTGCACCCTTTGAACAGATTGCAGGTTTAACCTGTTCTTTTTTCTTTTCTTTAACCTGTTTTCTTTTTCTTAGCATTTGTGAACAAGCCTATATACATGTACATGTAGTCTGTACATGTACATCCACAATATGTTAGTTGATATGACAACCAAACTGCCTTTGAGCATGACTTACTTTATTTGTAATAATCTCATAGTATCTAAAACATATTTGTACCAAAAAAATGTTTGGCCACAAATGCATAAGAGATAGTTTCCTGTCAATTTGCAGGAGGTTCAAAAGTTTGACTCCAATAAAATGCTTCTATATGTAAACCTACCAACTAATAGAAAAAAATATTAATACTTGATGTTAATATGATGAAGATTCCTGTCTGTTATCGTTAGTTGTTTTAGCGAATAAATGTGGAACAAGTTGTAACAGACTTGAAAGCTGTCAGGATGGGAGAGATGCTGCAACAGCTGTATTATTACACAGCTTTTTTTTTTATTTGGGTAACTTTTAATAAAAGTTAATGGCCCAAAATGTCAGAGAAAATTAGTTTCATGCTACAACTGCACTTACATATACGTGTTTATTGTTGCTGCATTTGATGTACATGTAAACATAGAAAAGTGTTTCTACATGACACGCACTTTACAAATAGATATCATTAACACCTATAAATTCCTCTGTAACACACATTTTCATCAAGATCTGTTGTAAATAAGATATTTCATCCATTATGTCTAAATTTAAATAAGGAATTTAACAAAAGTATGTACAAATTTGCAGAAATGTTATGTGCAAAATGGGGAAAATATTAGAGCATTCAAAAAATGTCATAGTGGAGAACAACATGAATAATGTTATTAGATGTGTATATAATAATTTTACAATATTTATTGCCATTTTGTTTTTACATGTACATGGCTTTCTATATTTTCAGCATATCGCTTGTAAATCATCTATTTTTAGGGATTGCCGTATCGCTATAAAATAAGTTGCTGGTTATATAATGCTCTGCTGTTGTGTTGTTAACAAAATAGATTTGTACAAGTACATTTGTACATCTTTATTGTTCGGTACGTCCCCTAGATTTCTTTAACAGGTGGCTTGCACTTTATTATCTTAAGACTAATTCAAATTGTTAAGGGAATATTTAATTATTTTAAAAGACAGTGTCTTAGCATTCAATTGGGACAGGTATACATTCTAGAAGGGCATCTCGGCATTCAGGTGGTGCAGAGAGGTATTCAGGTGGTGCCGAGAGGCATTCAGGTGGTGCTGAGAGGTATTCAGGTGGTGCCGAGAGCTATTCAGGTGGTGCAGAGAGCTATTCAGGTGGTGCAGACAGGTATTCAGGTGGTGCAGACAGGTATTCAGGTGGTGCAGAGAGCAACTCAGGTGGTGCAAAGAGCTATTCAGGTGGTGCAGAGAGCTATTCTGGTGGTGCAGACAGGTATTCAGGTGGTGCAGTGAGGTATTCAGGTGGTGCAGAGAGCTATTCAGGTGGTGCAGTGAGGTATTCAGGTGGTGCCGAGAGGTATTCAGGTGGTGCAGAGAGGTATTCAGGTGGTGCCGAGAGGCATTCAGGTGGTGCCGAGAGGTATTCAGGTGGTGCCGAGAGTTATTCAGGTGGTGCAGAGAGCTATTCAGGTGGTGCAGACAGGTATTCAGGTGGTGCAGACAGGTATTCAGGTAGTGCAGTGAGGCACTCAGGTGGTGCAGAGAGCAACTCAGGTGGTGCAAAGAGCTGTTCAGGTGGTGCAGAGAGCTATTCTGGTGGTGCAGACAGGTATTCAGGTGGTGCAGAGAGCTATTCGTATGGTGCAGACAGGTATTCAGGTGGTGCAGTGAGGTATTCAGGTGGTGCAGAGAGCAATTCAGGTGGTGCAGACAGGTATTCAGGTGGTGCAGAGAGGTATTCAGGTGGTGCAGTGAGGTATTCAGGTGGTGCAGAGAGCAATTCAGGTGGTGCAGAGAGCAATTCAGGTGGTGCAGAGAGCTATTCTGGTGGTGCAGAGAGCAATTCAGGTGGTGCAGAGAGCTATTCTGGTGGTGCAGACAGGTATTCAGGTGGTGCAGTGAGGTATTCAGGTGGTGCAGAGAGCTATTCAGGTGGTGCAGACAGGTATTCAGGTGGGGCAGACAGGTATTCTGGTGGTGGAGCTCAGCATTCGGTGGTGCAGAGAGGTATTCAGGTGGTGCAGACAGGTATTCAGGTGGTGCAGTGAGCTATTCAGGTGGTGCAGACAGGTATTCTGGTGGTGCAGACAGGTATTCTGGTGGTGGAGCTCAGCATTCGGTGGTGCAGACAGGTATTCAGGTGGTGCAGTGAGGTATTCAGGTGGTGCAGAGAGCTATTCAGGTGGTGCAGAGAGGTATTCAGGTGGTGCAGAGAGGTATTCAGGTGGTGCAGAGAGGTATTCAGGTGGTGCAGAGAGGTATTCAGGTGGTGCAGAGAGCTATTCATGTGGGGCAAAGAGCAATTCAGGTGGTACAGAGAGCTATTCAGGTTGGGCAAAGAGCAATTCAGGTGGTACAGAGAGCTATTCAGGTGGTGCAGAAAGCTATTCAGGTGGTGCAGAGAGGCATTCAGGTGGTGCAGAGAGGCATTCAGGTGGTACAGAGAGCTATTCATGTGGGGCAAAGAGCAATTCAGGTGGTACAGAGAGCTATTCAGGTTGGGCAGAGAGCTATTCGGGTGGTGCAGAGAGCTATTCAAGTTGGGCAAAGAGCAATTCAGGTGGTACAGAGAGCTATTCAGGTGGTACAGAGAGGTATTCGGGTTGGGCAAAGAGCTATTCAGGTGGTGCAGAGAGCTATTCAGGTGGTGTAGCTCGGCATTGAGGTGTGGCAGCTTGGGCATTCAGGTAGTGCAGTGCGGCACTCAGGTGATGCAGAGAAGTATTTGGGCGGGGCAGCTACAAAGTAGGCATTCAGGTGGTGCAGCTAGGCATTCAGGTGGTGCAGAGAAATATTTAGGTGGTGGTGGTGCAGTTAGACTTTCAAGTGGTGCAGTTAGGCATTCAGGTGTGAGCAGTTAGGCATTCAGGTGTGAGCAGTTACATGTAGGCATTCAGGTGTGAGCAGTTAAGCATTCAGGTGTGAGCAATTAGGCATTCAGGTGGGGGCAGTTAGGCATTCAAGTGGGGCAACTTGGCCTTCAGGTGTGGCAGCTAGGTATTCAGGGGGGACAACTAGGCATTCAGATGAGAGAAGCTGGGCATTCATGTTGAGTAGATTGGCATTCTAGCGGGGGCAGTTGGGCATTCAGGTGTTACAACTAGGCATTAAGAGGTGGGAAGTTAGGCATTCAGGTTGGTCACTGGGCATTCAGGTGGGAAGCTGGGCTTTCAGGTGGGGAAGCTCAGCATTCTGGTGGGGCAGCAAGGAATACAGGTGGTGTCAGAACAGGGTCAGCCTGGTGCTAAAACTGTCAGGTGTCAGGACTGAGTGTCAGTATACAGAGAGAGGATATTTTGTCTCTAGTCAAAACAAAACATGTGTATATATATAGCAGGAATTTGAAGTGTAAGGTTCACTGGATGAACATGTAACTTGATCAAGACGAAAGCGCTTCTAATGAAATACTTGATAGCCTCAATTCTGTTAATCGTTGAAAATAAACATTTATTTTTTAACAAATTTACTGCTCATCCAAATACTAGCGATTATTTTGATTCTCTTCCCCAATTTTTAATTTGATTAGCCCCTTCTCAAATAAAGGTACGGTAAGCCAAAAATCATTAACTTGTCAGAAAATTAGAAATTGAAATGAGCTACCCTAACATACACATTATATTATGTGATATGTTTTCTTGTTGCTTAGAATACATTGCTGTCGGTAATCACATGCTTTTAAAAGATGACGATTTTATGAAATTATTTAAAAATGACACAATTTATTAAAATCTGTTATTTCCGACTGTTGAAGTGTGATCGAAAGCCAAGCTTCTTTCAAAATTTCCTCACAGCGATGACCAAAATTAAAGCGTTGATATCGTATTTTGTTTATTTTCTTTCTTATTACATTTACATTATAATTTTTGAAAAATATAAAAAATACAAATAAGTCTACCGTAAATGATCGGTAATTTCAATTAAAACACTTGCAATGTGCCACAAATGTTCATAGAATTATAGAAAGAAAGAAAAAAATCGGCATCTGCAGTTTCTGATGTAAACAACACCACGTGGAAGGGAAGAGGATATGTTTTGGCGTCTTGCCAGTTGGCGGGCTGCCAAGATTGTAACAAACAAGGATCACCTGACCTGATTATTATGGGATGCTAATTTAGGAAATGTTGTTTTCCCACTCTGGATTCATTCATAAAATCTGTTATAGTTTTTATGAATGGAGAATGTTTAGAAAGGTCATCCAGGGACCACCTCAGTTGTACTCTTTCTCAGTTACTCAGTTGTTACTTTCTCTTATACAGTTGTTTTTTCTCCACTTCTAGAGAACAATTTTTAATAAGGTTCTTCTTATTCGTACATACAAAAATGTACAAGTTCTTTCTATTGCCCTTCACAACTTAAAGAAAATTTACTTGATTCAGCCCCTGTAAAATTTAATCTCATTTGTGGATTTTTAAGCTTTTTTGGATAATTGTGGAAAAGTGGAAAAGAAATTATGAAATTTTGATTTTTGCTTTCGAAACTCTAATTAGTACTTAATACATGCTTCTGTTGTTTTACTTTCCCATACACCATATGTTAATGAAAGGTATGAAATGGTAAATGAATGGTACAATGAGGTCATAACACGAGATTGTTTGGTTTTTATGAACAATAAAATCTAGCAAGAAAATCTTAAATGTTGGATGAATTGTATGAAGGAAATCTAAAATTCTGAATATCCCAATCAGTTTTTTTGAACACCATTTTTTCTTGCCATAATTTTGGGGCAGCATTTTGCATGTTTTTATATATTTTTCTATAATTTCTTTGTTAGTTTTTGACAAAAATAAGCGTCTTTTCCCGTTGGCTGCAGTTCTTTATCAAAATTGTTAAAAAAAATATGAAAAATATTATGCAGATTTAGTTTGTGAAAAGTTGATGCAAATAAAAGTCAACCATTATATGTTTTAATTATTATTTGTTAAGAATTGTTTTTTGACTGCATGACAGCGTTCATACATGTAAAACAGTGGATTAATTGTTCATACATGTATTATCTGCAAAAGTGACATGGGTTTAATTCCAGTATTCCAGTTTAATGCATGCAGTACAGGCATGTTGTGTCTACAATCACAGGAAAAATTCAAACATTTTTCAAGTTACGTACATGTATTTGGGGCACTTTACATGTACGTACATATAACTGTAAAAATGCTAAATATTTTTAAACGGAAGCAATAAAACCATATTATCTCATCAATTTGCAAGTATTATTGACTATTATGTCATAAAAACATCAGAAATTGTTTCTATATATGTTTATACAAATGTCACATGTCCATCCATGCTTGCATTAATTTTCAATCCCTGCAATTGTTTATAGTTTATCTTGCATTTGCAGTTTATTAGATTTCTATTTTTTTTTTTTTTTTTTACAGTTATTTTAGAAGCTAGATTCAGTGTTAAATTAAGCGCAACAACAATATTGGGATTTCAACCCCCTTCCCATCATGCAATATTTTGTACAGATGTAGCTGAGTGTACTTGGCTTGTGGCCAATTGGCAGATTGCCAATGTTAGGTCATCTCAGGACAATGCACCATAGTTTGAATTTATCACTGAACGAACAATTTCATTCAAAATAATAATTTCACTCATCGATTGATTTAAAATGTCACACTACCACAAAAATAATTGATTACTCAATTAGCTATTTATTAATAAATTGAACTAAATTGATTATACATGTACATGTATGCTTCACATAAATGTACCTTCTTGCATAGTAACCACTGTTGCTAGGGTCTTTAGTTCTAGGGCTCAAAATAGTTGCTTCACAATAAAATTACAAGTGTACAATATTGTAATCTAATGTACAATATTGTATTAAATAGTGTAAACTTTTAAAACTATTACATCAGAAAGAGATGGAGGGGTATTCCCCTGGATTTTAGGTGTGGGTCGTGCATACAGTATAACCATGGGTGCTTCACTGCCACTTGATAATTGAACCCAAAAAAATATAGAAACATTTTCTGGTTCATAAATTGGAAGTTTTTCAACAAAAAAGTCCACATTTCACTAAAATGACTGGAAATTTTTTAAATTTAGTACATCTAAATACTTCATGAGAAAAAAATACCAGTAGTAGGTATTTAATTCAAAAGTAGGTGATAATGTGTATACCAGGCTGATTTCTACATGACTGAAATTTGGCGTAACATTTAACCTTAGTCAGTACAATATTCTACAACCATGGATTTCAGTGTGTTTTTGTATTCCATTGCTTGAACTTGCGGATTCTGAAAGAATCAAATTTCAAGACCAATGTTTCTAGAAATACATCACCAGAGACCAAATACATTACCAAAGACTCCCTGTGTGTGTGAGGGAAGGGGGGGGGGGTACTTGACGCGACACAGACACACAAAGATTTGCTGTGATGGAACTACATGTAGTTATGTTAATTCACTGGCATGTCATTGGCACATCACAAAATCATACATTGATATAGTGAGTTTGATAACATCTTACTATAGTTTTGTAATTTCGTGTAATGAAATTCACATTTAATAAAACAAAATGAGTGTAAAAGTGAAGGTACATTTTGTAATATGGGGCAACGTCATTTTTGTTTGTGTCTAAAGTACATGTACATTTGTACATGTAAGCTTTGCAGTCATGTACAATTTTCTCCTCCCAGGAATTCTCCAAGCTGTCTCAAACTGATTTCAGGGGATTCCATTTTGACTCTGAATTCCTAAAAAATTCAGTCCTGTTTATGAAGCACACACTGTAGACTAGTTGTGAAGAAAGAAAATTTGAAATGGCATCAATGCATTCAGATATTCATCAGGTCGGGATTTTAAACAATGGCATCAATTATTCATCTCAGTGAATTTTAGGTCTAGTGCTAAGCATTTATAGTGAGATTATCTAAAAACATAAATCATCATAATTGTTCTGTATTTAGAAAAACTATAAACTGTTTAATTCAATGTTTAATGAGAGTACGCTGTATTGGTGTAAAATAATTTTATATATACATTTTTGCTTAAATGATTTTTTGGCTGTTTAATTCATAATTCATAATACCTGGATGTTCACGGAATTATCATTCTCTTTCACCATGGTACAAGAAGATCCTACTGAAGAAAGAAATTAGATGAATAATTAAATACCTAATTTGCATAAATTCAACAAGATATTTAAAGAACTACTTGACAGATTTCAGTGAAATTTAATACATATAACATGTACATGTGTAAGGGTTCTTGGGCAATTCAGAAATGTTATTTCAGAGTTAAAATTTATGCATTTTGTTTACCAAATCTGCATAAATTTGCAAATTTTTAGTTATTCCTCAGGTCATTACTTCGAGATTAAAACCATGCATAATAATTATCTAATTTGCATAAATTCTGAAGTCTTAATAACCATATTTTAAATAAAACAGGTGCTTCGGAAGAATCCACTGACTTGTGTTATTTTAAGACTGAAATTTCTCTATTTCATCATATGCCCAAATATCTGTGAATATTCAAGTTATATTAAAGCGGGGGAGTCGTCACCTGCGCGTGCGCCAGATGGCCATAGCGTGTCGTTGTTTACAAACAAGCATCTACCCATGAGTCTTTGCATTTTTAGCGCGTGTTGTTATCGTCGCTTTGGACTCAATTCTCACGCGTGTGCAGGTGACGACCCTCTCACTTTAAGCTTGAATTAGT